GATTCAGCAGTATGGCCACGGTTCTCCAGAGACAGCAAGGCAGAACGTGACCCCAAAGGTCCCTGCACCCAATGAGCAAATGAAACCCCTCTTTGCCTTCCTGCACAATACTGTGCTCTCTTTGATGTGACAACAAATGACCCAAAGAGGTGGAAAGGATCTTGCCCTCAATCCTGCCTCCGGGGTGCCAACTCCTACACGCTTCACCTCTTGAAAGCTGAACGGCAAGACCTTAAAACAAGGGGCTGACAGTAAATCATTAACAGCACATAAACTTTGGTTGGAAAACTGACAGCTCCACTTGAAAACAAGGCAGAGAAAAATCAATAGCTCTTTCCTCCACCAACTGAGCTCTGAAACCTGGAGCTGGCCATGCCCTCCTCTCAGCCATCCTCTGCCTCTCTGAGACCAAGTGCACAGAGCACGGGTTTAATGATGGGAAACTGAGGCAGAGCAACCAAGAATCTGCCACAGGCGAGCTGGGAGCAGGAGGTGAATTCTCAAGAGCTGTTTGGGGGGCTGCAGCCCAAAGCAGAGCTGGAGGAAGACAGCCTGTCCAGCCAGCATGAGAGGGACCACGTGTCCCGGGAGCCAGCTCATGGCAGTGACAAGGACAGCATCCACACCTGCTGTCTTAAATCGATTTAATTGATCTTGGCAAAGATTAAAGTCTTTCTCAGACAGAGCCAACAGAGACAGAACTCCCAGGAAAGACAGAATCTCTTGCAACTTTCTCAGCAGGTCTTGGTCTCACTGAGGGATGTCCCAGCAGCATCAGTAAAGCCTGGGAAGAGGCCATGGCCCAAGGTGCAAGTTCCAGTTGCCAAGCCAGCGGTGCTAAGGAGTCAGGAGAGATAAATCTCTTCCCTGGAAGCAGAGAGGATGCAGATCTCAGCAACTGCCTGCTGCTGCACCCCTCTCTCCAACCCTGCCACTGGAGGACAACACCCTGTAGTCCCCATGTCGGTGTCCGACGGCGTCTGGGAGGAGAAAGCAATTAAAGCCACAATGTGTGTCCCACCTCCACCCCTCCAATGCATAAATAACCTGCCCTGTCCCCACCTGTCACATTCCAAACAAAACTGGTAAGTTCACGTTGCAAACAGCATTCCTAATACACATTCCCCCTCGCTCCCAGCTCCTTTCTCCGCAACAGCCTCTCTGAGCATCCTTCCATTTTCCAGCCTGCTTGGCTTCCTGCTGGATCTGAGTGTCAGGAGTCTCTGCTAACAAAGGCATTGCTGTTGGAAGCCAGGTGTGGCTGAAGAGAAATTTGGATTCTCCTGGCTTTAAGTTAGTGATTAGTCTCCTAAAACATCAACGTTCCTGACCCTGCCACAGGCTCATAGCTTACCAAGACCTTCACGTGGCTTTATGCCTGCAGGAGCTGTCAGGGAATATCCCGCTTTCAACTTCTGCACCCAATAAACACACAAACCTCCATCCAGTTAATAAAAAATGGTTCCACGGACAACTTATCCAGGAAAAACACCATTTTAAGCAGTATGGAAGTACTCAGGGTGAGTTACTTTGAGATGAACCTTTAAAAACACACTTCAGAAAGAGATTTGGGTTTCATCAGCCGTCACCCTGCAGCCCCATTACCCCTGAACCACTTGGAAACCTCTCCTCCTCCACAGTAGTGGGAGAGCTTCAGGCAGGACACAGTTCCTTCCTTGGGAGGCCAAAGAGGGGACTTGTTTTTTTGGTGGTTTCCATTACAGGATGGATTTTTATGGATTGCTCCGCCACAAGCACCAGACTCCAGCCAGGACACGGAGCTGCAGCAAGCACATCCACCAGGCTCTCTCATCTCCCAACCTTTAGTTTCCAATCATCCTCATCATAAAAATAAACAAATGGAGCCAAAGAGCTCATGTTGAAAGACAACCCATGCATGTTTTCTTTTGGATGCCGGATATCTGGTTCCCAAAAGTCCTTTGGAGAAACAAGGGAGGAATCTGGATTTATTGTTTTGGCACATCCCGCATGGCATGCACCTTTTTGCACGCTATTTGCTGAGCTTATCCCATAAATCAGATATGCCCATAAGAGCACAAAGGGGTTCAGCCAGCTCACAAGGATTTGGCTGCAGGTCGTGATGATTTTGAACACTAAAATGCCCAAATCCCAGTTCCTGGTAAGCAAATGTGCTTGGAAAAGTTGGAGCGCTCAGATGGGGCCACACTCAGAGGAGACAGCAGGGTGCAGGGCAAGGCAGGGGATACAGATTTATCCAATAGCTTTCTCAGGAGGAAAAGGGGTTTCCTGCTGGGAGCATCCCACCATGTTCCCTGGCCACTGTGGCCACTTGCACTTATTCTGGCCATGGGGCAGGAGCCCGTCCTGCCCTCAGCTGCCCAGGTCTCTCCATCCTCAAGTACATTTGGTGAATCATCACATGCACAGGGCTGGCAAGGTCAGAGCCATGGGGAGTTCATGCTGCTGGTGGTGCTTGATATCCCCTCCTAAGAACGCTGCTGGGCATGTTCCCATCAAAGCAAAACATGCTCCCAAACTAACCAAATAAAGGCAACAGGCAGGACCACGAAATGCCTAATCCGCACCACACAGAGGGAGATGACTGGAAATATCCCTGCTCCTCACATCTGAGACTCCATTTGCTCCAGGCAGTAGTGCCAAGGATGTTGATCTGTGCCCCAAAATGGTCACCTGGCTTCCACTTTAAACACCTGAGGGCAGCCCTAATCCTGCTGTGCATGGCCAGAGCCCATTGCAGGGGACTGGCAGGTCAGGGGGATTGAGGATTGACTGCCTTGTTAGCGCTGCCACCCAGCCCAGCTGCACAGCCCACGGTGGCCCTTCCACCTCCTGACATGAAGCTCTCCGTCACACATCAGAATTACAGATGCTGCATGCACACACTGCACGCTGTACAGCAACACAGTGCCATGACATCCTGCAAGGACAGCACTCTCCAGCTGCTCCAGATGTGCCCTCCTACGGACCACCCAGCTAAGAGCTCAGAAACAACATCAGAGGTGCAAGAACTTGTTCATCGGGAAGCCAGCTCAGGAGATTTTGGGGACACACCTCTGCTTTCCTCACCACAGACCTACCTGCTTGTCGATAAAGATCAAACCCAGGTGGGCTGATCTGCCACAGCTCACAGAATCCTTTGGGATGGAAAAGACCTTTAAGGTCAAATGAAAGGTCACAGCTGTGATGGGGAGTGGACTCTGCCAGCTCCATGGGACATGCCCAGCTCCACAGAGGCCCACGAGCACCTTTCAGCAAGGGAATGGTTTCCCTGGAGACCCCGAAAGCCCAAAGCAGGAGGCAGGACACTCCAGGGACCAGCCAGGAGCTGGGACACTCCCTGGGTAAGGTAACCCCCCACTCCTCAAGGTCCTGAGATCCATCTCCACACCCAACACAGGAGGATTTATCAGCAGAACTGCTGCTATTGCACACTGATGTCTATAAAAGGGCACATCAAACTACACCAATTGGATATTCAAAGCTGGGTTTTTTTTTTAAAAAAGCACATCAGCTGTCAAGGTAAAATCACTTAATTACACTTGTCAGGTGTTTCAGTGGCTAATGTGATAATAATAGCAATATTCAGCACCGCAGAGCAGGGCTTCGAGCCTGCTGAGAAATTCATCTGACGCTCAACTGCACGTAGCCAACTCTCCAAATTACTAAAGCTACTGAACGTTGCTGGGACCCATTTTCCACGGATGCACGCGCCGGGAATGGCTGAAGGGAGCCCGGGGAGAGCCAGCGCCATCCCCAGCGCTCAGCCAGAGGCATCAGCTGAGCTCTGCTCATTCCCCCTCCTGAATATTCATCGTGCCCAAACGCAGTATATCCTGAATATTAAACAACAGCTACTCAGGGCAGGAATATCAATCCTTCGGCAAAGCCCTCAGTTGTTTCGGGAGCGGAGGGCTGTGGGTGCCGGGCAGGGGGAGAGGGAAAGCACTGCTCCTTCTCCATCTCCTAGGGAGGTGAGCGCTGGGTGAGTGGGCTGGTGGCCTCACAGCAGCCACCCTGCAATCCAGGAGCTGCAAGGGCACACAGCCCCATGCTGAGGGCACACGGCCCCTGTGCCACGCAGGCAGGAGCACAGTGGGCAGCACAACCCCTCCACTCAACCCCACATCCCAGTGATGGTCCTGGGGCAGCAGTGCTGCCCAGCCTCCAAGCAGGGCTATGCCCTCCGAAACTGCTGGCTAAGCACTTTTCTTAAAGAGGAAACTGGTCTTTGCTTCCCTCAAATGAGGGTGCTCACAAGGGCAGCACCTTCCAGCACAAGCATCCTGAGACCCCTCACCCCATCCCATCGAGCTCTGCCCACCACAGTCTGGCTTCAGGCAGGGCTTGTCACTGACATACCTGAAGTGCCGGGAGCAGAAAGAGGGAAAAAAATCCAAATAAAGTAGAAAATGCAGTGGCTGTGAGCTCTCCAGAAACACAGCCGATGGACAGAGGGGGATGGAGACTCGCACCCCTGTCAGCCCCTCAGTGCAAGAGGGTCACGTGAAAGGGAGGCATTTCTGCTCAATAACCTGCAGCTGTGGGAGGGAGGAGCAGACAGGTAACCAGACCCTTCTGCAGAAACACGAGGTCACGTTTTGGGATACAAGTGTTGCAAGGGAAACACACCTACATGTTCAGAAATGGAAAATTCAGAGTAAAAGCTCTGAAAAATAAGGAAAAAAAAAGGGGATAAAAGGGCATAGGTAGCATGAGCTTGCTGGAAGCAGGAGTGCTGCAGAGGAGCTGAGGATAAACAGTCTTAAACAGTGTCCTGCCCTTGGGCAAAGGGTGGATCTGCAAGGAGCAAACCAAGCTTACAGGAACATCAGGAGCAGAAAATGTATCTGAGGACCCCAAAAAGCAGCTCCCCAGGGATGGACCACCAGGCACAGCTGAGGTGGTAGAGCATCACCTCCCACACAGGGAACACACCACTGCTGGGACTTCCCGTGGGACCTGGAGTCCCACTAATCCTTTTCATTATTATTTTTTAAGTTTGCTTTAAAACGCGGAAGTGAAAGAACTGAAGCTCAGCTCACACCCTTCAAACAACCACAAACCAGAAGGCTTGAAAAGAACACGGCTCGCAGTGGTTTCAGGAAGCACAAGTTCCCGTCCTGGGAAGGAAACAGCGTGCACAGGGGTACGTTCTCCCTCACAGAGTTTGTACTGCAAAAAAAAACCAGGGAGAGAAGAATAAGGATTGAAAGGAAATTCAGAAACTGCAAAAGATAACACAGAACTGAGGCATCCAGAGAGATGTTACAAAGAAAACTAACATAAAAGTGTCTATACTGTTAACAAGTCTGTTAACAGAGGGGGAAAAAAACATAATCTGTGAAATCATGTGCCAAGGGATGAGTGGAGCAAAGATTAAGGTTGATGGGAACATAAACTGGCTTGAAAAACTCCGGGGTGATGGCAGAAGGACCAGCATGGACATGTCACAGCCCATGGACAGATTCCTCTCCAGAGGGTTAATGGCACCTTCCTTGGTGTCTTCATCTTCCCAGAACAAGTCAACCCTTCAAGCCCCATAGCCTCATCATCTGCCCTTCTCATCTTGCACCCCACTATCTTCACACTCACAGATCTGATAAGAACCACACATTTTGGTTTATCAAGCCCAAAAAGGGTGGAATTCATGCACATACTTAACCATCACCTTCAGCACTTCCTACTGATTGAGGCTGATGCAACGGGTGAACAGACTGATACCAGCCACTTTCTGAAATTAGGGCATTTGGAGGGGAGACTTTGATCAAAGAAGATGACACCTGTTATTTAAAAATAATCTCATCTGCCAACCATCTTCCTCCCTCCACAGACCTCGGACTCCAGTCCTGGCTTGCCCAGGACACAAAGGCTGAAGATTAATCTTCCAGCCTCATCCCAAACACAGCATCACTGAGTGATTTTCACACAGCTTTATGCTTTCATTTTCCATCTCAAGCTGCTCTTGAGATAGCAACATTGAAATCATCTTGGATGTGAGTGTAGGTTTGGAAAAAAGCGAGAGAATAATCTAACCAACACTGTTTTGCAGCTCTGCTATCTCAATCCCCATAAGAGCTTAGCTTAATAAGAAAAAAAAATCCAAACCCTCCCCAAAAAGCAGACTTCTGAGAAGAAAAAAAATTATCAAAGATCTTAGCCCTCAGTGCTGATTCCTGGCCCCCATGACCTCCAAATGATCAATATTTAAGCAGGATGCATCAAGGATGAGGCAGGAGGATCTTCTGGGTCTTCTGGGTGCTCTGGCACTGAGAGGGAAGCAACAGGGATGAGAACCCTGTGTTGGGGACCCTGGTGTGTGGCACAGGTCCCTCTGCTCAGGGAGGTCACTAGGTGACAAACTTGTCCCAAGATAACACTAAAAACAGCCGGTGTTGTGGGGGAACTTGAACCATGGCTGAGCTGGGGAGGACAAAGCCCCACTGCCCACATGGCTGGGGCTGCAGCACCCATGGAGACCACATATCCTCCTCCAGCATCCCCACAGCAGTGGGGGGTACCAGCCCCCCCACACACACCTGGAGCAAGCCTCAGCTGGGCCTGCATCCCTTCCTCCAAGGGGTCTGGAAGTGAAGCAGCAAAAGCACGTCTGTCTGGTTCAGCGCTCAGGGGCCGACAGCTCCGGCACCAACAAAGCTCTGTTCCTGCTGGGAACAGCCCCCATCTGCTGCGTGGGAGTCTCAGCAGTCACAACTGCAGCCCTCGTCCTCGGCTGACTCTTCCTGGTGTGGAGGAATACAGACACAGGCACTGAAATTCCTCTGAGCCCCATGGCAGTGCAGTAAATTATAAATCAAGCAGCAATCCGTGACTCACCCAGCGCTAGTGGGAACACGCTCGCAGCTCCCAGGTGAACAAGTCCCACGTGGCAGCACGACGGAGAGTTTTTCTCAATTTTCTACCCCACCACTCTCCTAAAAGCCTTGGAATCACTACCAGCTCTCTGCACAATTTGTCAGCTCGGGGAGGTTTTGTTAATCCTGGTCCCATTCTCACAGCCCCATGGGAGGCAGCGCTGCTCCGGCAGGTAACAGAGGATGGAATTTCTGCCTGGCTCATGGCTCTTTTTCCAGAAGAGGAGGGATGTAAGTGTTACAAGACACAGCTTTTCTCTTTCTTTTGCATGTTTCCAGCCTGTCAATCTACAGAAGCCTCAGCAACAGCAGAGGAAAAGCCTCCTCAGAGCTGGCCCTTTCTCTGGCTCCTCAAAGGGAGCAGAGCTCACAGAGAAGCCACGGACAGCAGACAATAATTAAGGCAAAATCCTTTCTTCCAACACTCCTTCCAGCACAAATCATGGATGGAAGAGCCAGCTGGAGCTCTGCAGAGACCCCTTCTTGCTGTATCCCTCTGTGTAACCCTGTGCTGGCCCCGGCATGGCAGCGGCACTGCGGTGCAGGCAGGACTCCGGCAGGCACTGGAGAGAGGGTGGCAATTACGAGTTTCAAGCAATCTGAATTTATAATTGGCTGAGATTTCACTCAGCAGATAACGCACTGCCATCCTGGGCACTTGCTGTATCTAGGTCAGGCCATTAGTTTTGCTCTTAATCTACACACAGTTTTAATTTCATCTTTAATGTCGAATTCCAGCCAGTAAGCTGAGCCAGCACATGACTTTGTCACTGATTGCATTCAACATCTCGACCCCTCCTGAACCCACAGAGAGGGAAAACAAGCACCAACATCCTGATGTACTTGGACCACTTCCAGCCAGGCTCACGCAGTCGCAGCACTGGCGCTGCCTGTTGGACTGGGAAATCAGAGAATCATGGAATGGTTTGGGGTGGACGGGACCTCAAAGACCATCTATTCACCCCCCTGCCATGGGCAGGGACATCTTCCACTAGACCAGGCTGCTCCAAGCCCTGCTCAATCTGGCCTTGAACACTTCTAGGGATGGAACAGCCACAGCTTTTCTGGGCAACATGTGCCAGTGTTTCAGCACCCACACCATAGAAAACTTTTGGGAAGCAGAGGCCATTGCCACCAAGGAGCCAACCTGGTCCATGCTGCCAGTGGATGCTTCACCCCCCACACAAGGTGCTGCACGGGACAGCAGGACAGGCAGTGCACGGCTGAGCAAGGACACACAGAGCAGAGCACGCTCCAAGTGACACACCCAGGTGGCACCCCAGACCTCCAAGAGCTCACAATGGGGGGTTCAGGGCAGGAAGCGACCTCGAGGGTGGGCTGTGGAAGGCTAGGAGATACAAGGATGCCTTCAAACATGCCATGTTAACTCAGGTCCACTTCCTGAGGACACCCTCATGCCCCTCACCTCATCCTCACATCACTCATGGGGTGCCACACCTGCCCTCACCTGCAGGACACAACCACCAGTATTTCATCCCCCATTATCTCCTCAGCTCTCCAAGCATGTCAGCACAGCACTGGGAAGGAGCCACTCCATTACAGATACTTTCCTACCCCAAGAGCTGTTGTTCCCTTCCCTTCCCTCACTGTCTCTGCAGCTGATAACCCTTGACATGAACCTTCCCAGCAGAACAGAATGCTGCTGCATCTATCCCAGGCATCCCAGCTTCAGAAAGCTCCCGGACACGCTCCAGCACTCCGACCTCTGCCCCATCCTGCCCAGCATCCACGTGGCCCCTGCTTAAATCCGGAAAACTGCTCACCCTGGCCAGAATCTTTACAGCATGAACAAGTGGGGTTCAGGTTGCACAAAATAAACCCATCACACGTGTTAAAGGGATTAAAGATGGTTCCTACAACATGTGGAGGTGTATAATATAGTATCCACAGGGAAGTCAGGCTGCTGGCACACTCTAGAGACTTTGGATGACAAACCAGCTTCGAGGGAAGGGGAGCACTAGGGGGAGATTTCTGGTCTATACACAACAGTCCAGTTTCAGGCACTCAGCTCTTCTAAAGAAAGAGAAAAAATTCCCCACCAAAGATTTGTGTGGAAAGCACAGTCCTTCTGACAACAGGAAGTTACTCACTTCAAAAACCCAATTTTCCATCAAAAAAAATCCAACTTGAAAGGCGTTTCCAGCTCACTCGAGCTGCAGGATCAAAGCCAGGGATTAAGTGCATCTGCTCACTGCTGGCTGCCCGAGCGTGTCATGGAGCTCTGGGAGCAGACACGGAGCTCACCGACAACATCCTGTGGAGGGCCAGAGCCCTGCCGTGGGCACGGGACACAGGGCAGGCCTGCAGGAGCAGCAGCATCCTACCAGCACCTTTTTAAGGGTTTCAACTACTTCAGGTACTTGCAAGGATTCTGAGCACTGCTAGGGAGCGTGTGGTGGCCAGAGCTGTGGACTGAGGCCGTGCAAGGAGATGGCACAAGATGATAAAGCAAACATTGGCTCTGCTGGTAAAGCCCAGCATTGATGCCAAGCAATTCCTGCAGCGGAGGTAGAGCATTAGGAAAAGAGACACACAAAACCAGCCCAACCAGTGCACAGCCAGAGACAGGGATGTGCTAGAGGATGAGCCAGAGGAAGGACACACCGGGGTCCCCCCTAGGTAGTTGTGGCCACCCTCACCCCTGCTCCCCATCCAGCTCCAGCCCTGCAGTGAGTGGGGAGCTGGGCAGGATGAACAGCACAGGAAGAATGTTTGCAGCAGAGGAGAGCTTCCCTACACAGCCAAAATCACTTCAGACTGTTATTTAAAAGGAAAAAAAAATGGTGTTCTGGCAACCTGCAAAGCTTCCTCAGATGGATTCGCGTGGCTGGCATGGACCAGATCAGGGAGGAATATTCCAAGGTTTTAATTTCCCTGCCCAGGTTTTATTGTGTGCAAACATACGTGGTCATTGCTTTCGAAGGTTTCCAATTTGCAAACATCTCCTCATGGGAAAAGAATGTCCTGCACTATGGATGGGGCTGCTGGCACGGCTCCACTCACCGAGGAAGCTTAGGTGAGGCATGATGTGATGGGAGATGGGCACATCAGGGGCTGCAGGCAAATCGCAGCCTCCCCCCAGACCCCATTTGGCAGCACTGACCCAAAGCCAAACCTCGTGGCTGGAACACAGGGAAGAAGCTGTGAGCACACATTGCCAGGTCATGTCCAGTTCTTCACCTACCAGCATCCCCAAATCCTTCTCCACAGGGCTGTTCCCAACCCGTCCATCCCCAAGGCTCAGAGCCTGAGCTTTTCCTCTCACAGTGGAAAAGTGCTGAGCAAGCTGGTTCAAGGGGGACACAAAAGCATTCCCAGAGCAATTCCTAGGGCTCAGTGGTCCTCAGGCACAGGGTGAGCCTGCAGGGGAGGATTTATGGTCAGTGGGAGGTTTCCATGTGCTGCAGCCCGTGGACTGGGAGACTGCGGAGCAGCTTTCCCAAAGGAAATGGCCACAGTCCAACCTGTCCTGCTCTCATCCTCCAAGAGAGCTGAGCAGGCACAGCCCGAGGGCTACGGCATTAGGGGATGGTGCCACAGGTCTCCCAGGACACTCTGCCATCCCAGCTCCCCCACAGGACAAGGCAAAGCAACACTGACACCTAGAAACCCAATGGCATTTGGGTCCAACACCCAGACTCGGCACGCACACGCCAGCAGGAGAAGATAAAACAGCAAACTCTTTGCCCTAATGGCAAGACCAAGACCCAGCTCAGCCTCCTGGTACCACGGTACCAGAGGAGCCCAGCAGTTGCATCCCACAGATCCTCCAGGAGCTGTTTGGCTTAAATGTGAGGTGCTGCTTGGGGCACCTGGAACCAGACCCTGCTCTGAGCACCGGCAGACACAGCTCCTGTGGACGACTGCACCGCCACAGCCACGCCAGCTCCTTACCTTCAGCTTCTCGAAGCGATCGCTGAGCGATGCCACTTGGTGGTCCCGGTGGCGGCCCACCAGTTTACATAAGGCACAGATGAGCTGGTCATCAGCGACACAGTACATGTTCACCTTCTCGTTCTCGTGCTCCAGGCACGTGAGTCCACGGAAGTGCGCGTCGGGCACCGGCTCCACCAGCCGGTGGCTGGTGAAGGGCTTCTTGTTGGGGTGGGTGGCCCGCAGGCAGCGGTCACAGTAGGACACCTCGCAGGTGATGCAGGTCTTGACAGCGTCCCGGGGCGGATCCTGCTCGCAGAACTGGCAGGAGATCCTCTCGCTGGCCACGGACATGGTAGGGCTGTTGCGGTAGGTCCTCTCGCGGCGGCTCTCGCTGGGGGAGTTGGGGCCGCTCAGGGAGGCCTTCTGGAAGCGGTCGATGATGTTCTGCAGGGTCACATTTCTCTTGAGGCCCTCCAGGCCCCGGTGGTTGAGGGAAATGACATAGCGGCAGGTGGGGCACTGGAAGGCGGTGATGGGCTCGATGGACTCGCTGGAGGAGCAGCTGGACACCAGGATGCGGTGGGCACAGCTGAAGCAGAGGCTGTGGGCACAGGGCAGCAGGAGGGGGTCCTCAAATAACTCCAGGCAGATTGGGCAGGTCAATTCTGACTCCAGTGTTTCCATCTTTAGTTAACACGATCCTGATTCAGCATGAAAAACCAGGGAAGGTGGTCGGGAACCTGAGAGGGAGGAGAGCAGAGACATGAGACAGCAGCGACAGCGACTCTCCTGGGCAGCTCCTCTCCTCCAGCAACAGGCACCCAGGCAGGTCAAACATGTCACCCCTGCAACACCCCAACACTTTTTACACCCCAACACTGTCATTACAGCCCAGCCAGGCCCCTGCAAGTGCACCAGTGTGGTTGAAGCCTCTCACTGAGGTGTCTCGCCCCACCATCCCCCTGAACCAAACCACCGCTGTGGAGCAGTGGGACAAGAGCCGTAGGGAGGAATGGGAAACGTGCAGCAGCAGCTGCCCCGACACCTTCAAGCAGAGCCAGGGAAGGACCTGGACCACAAGGCTGGAGACAAAACAAGGAGAAACCACACGATTTCATGTCTGTGTTGCTGAGCGCTGCTGAGGACTGGGGTGGGGCCGTGCTGGCATTCCATGCAGAGGGGCTGCACTGTACAGCAGAGGTAAGCCTCTGAACATCCCCTCCAGCAGCCCCAGGCCTGCCTGCTTCTGGTGAGGGGGAAAAGGTGAATCATGTCCTGGAAACTCTGAGTAGAGCATGTCGGGAGCTCTTAACACCCCATCCCGCTCCCTGCTTTTCCCGGCCATTGCTTTTTGGAGCAGGGTGGGTAGGGCAGAGCAGCAAAATTATAGTCGGCAAACTTCCACCACTGGCTGTCCTCCACTGCACTCCACAACAGCCAGGGATGCCCAAATCAACTCCAGCTGGAGGCAAACAAGCTGTATTTTTAGCTCCCTTCCCTTGCATGAGCTGGAAAAGAGGTCCCAGCAGGCGACAACCTGCTGCTCCCAGCTCCGGTTTGCAGAGCAGCAGGAGCTGCACCTCGAGCACTGCCCAGCCTCTGCTGCTGTCCCAGCCTGCTCCCAAATGCCTGTCACATAGTGACATGGAACTGGATCCAGTCTCTCCTTTCTTACCCTCCACCCAGTGCACACGTGGTGCCTCCTGCTCTTCTCGACCCAGCCAAGGCAGGCTCCAAGCAATGCCCACTGAGATGTCCCTTGTCACAGACATGGGGAAAGTCTCATTCTGTTAAAGCCATAGGGACCCCTCACCCTGGCACTGCTGCAGGGAGCAATCCTGTGAGAAGGAACACAGTGGCCAGCCCAGCCCTGTTTCCACCCCAGGAACACTTTGGTGGGGTACATGGCCTCTGCTTGGGGAGAAGAGGAAAAGCTCTTCCCTGGGCAGGTAGTGAGGCCCTGGCACAAGCTGCCCTGAGAAGCTGTGGCTGCCCCACGCCTAGAAGTGTTCAAGGCCAGGTTGGATGGGGTTTGGAGCAACTCAGTCCAGTGGAAGGTGTCCCTGCTCATGGCAGGGGGTGGAACTGCATGAGCTTTAAGGTCTTTCCAACACAAACCAATCTGGGATTCTATGAAAAAGGGCCGTGTGGGGGGATGAACCAGCAGCAGGAGATGGTTTGGCTGCTGGAAGCCCCAGGCTGCTGCCAGGACCTGCAAATGGCAAATTGCACAGGTGCCTCACTGAAACCTGCCCACCCCCATCCCTTCCATCACTCCCGCCCCATCACACTATCTCTTCCCAACTGCCTGAAATGGGATTTGCAAGTGCCTGAAGGAGACCTTGAGCTCCTCCCTGAACCAGCTCAAGGGGTTTATAAAATTAAATCCACTGGGTATTTCGGTATGTTCATGCTGCAGCAGCTTCTGCTGCCCAAACACAGCCTCGCACACACATGTATCCACACCTTCTTTAAAATTGTTTTTCTTTTCCTCAAGAGAGACAGTGGAAAAGTAGCTGTGTCCAAACAAGGAGAGGAGCACAAGGGTTCCCCGACAGCTTCCTCTCCGCAGCCCCCGGAGTGTTTCTCAAGCCTCAGAGCCTGCCACAGCCATGGGAAAGCGGCAGGGAGGAAACGTTCCTGGACCTCTGCCCGGCTCCTCGCACTCTGCTGTGGCTATCCCCGGATCTGCTGGGCTCCCCCATGCCCCAGGACAAGGGAGGGCCCCAGTGTCCAGCTACAACACTCCCATCGCCAGCACTGCGGCACCTCCTGGCACTGCCCTTGGGCACTGGAGCTGTAACACCTCCCACACTGGTCCCTCGCTGTGCCCGCTGCTCTGGACACAGCGGCTGCCTCACCCTAAGAGCCCAACACCCGCTCCACACGTGACCCCAGCTCGGGGGGCACAGCCCCTCTCACCTCCCCACGTGATCCATGGATTCCCTCCGGCCAGCAAACACAAAGGGAAAAAAGAAAGAAGGACAAGAGCCTGACCAAGACTGGGAAAAGAATTTAAAAATCAGAAAATTGGTGTGAGAGCCGCCCATTGCTGGGTCAGTCCCACGGAGCAACATCTCACGCTCCCACAAGCTCCCACATCCAACACCCAGCTTCGCATCCAGCTCCGCTGCCATCCGAGGGAAAACGACACAAAAAGTTTAAACAGCCTTCGTCTTAGTTGCCAAGTTTTTACATTAATCTTGTCTTCCTTGCTGGGACAACAACTTTTACCTGCGACATATCCAAGAGGAGCCTCAGACCCCAGGCTGGGACAGCAGCAGGTGCAGGAGCCCACTCGGAAGTGCAGGAGGAGGCACAGGAGCCTGCCTGGAGGCAGTATGGGAGCAGGCACAGGAGCCTGCCTGGAGGCAGTATGGGAGCAGGCACAGGAGCCTGCCCTGGGGGCAGTACAGGAGCAGGCACAGGAGCCTGCCTGGAGGTGCAGGAGCCCCCTTGGAGGAGGCACCTGCTCCGAGGTGCTGCACCTGGCGAAGCAGCCGCGCTGCCGTCAGAGCCTTTCATGCCTCTCACTTTGATGTTCTCTTTGATGTCCAGGACTGACGCAGCGCAAGGAATAGCTGATTAGATTAAAATCTGTTTTCTTTAGAGTCATTAACTCCCTAAATATAAAAGTCATAAAATATTAACACTGCTTACAGACAGCCCCGTGTCATTTGTGCCCCGAGGGTCAGCGGCCCTGGCCAAGCCGGGCTGTGACAACAACGAGCAGCAGCAGCAGGTTAACAACACAGTGACATAAAAGCAAACACTTTTTTGTGTTGATTTGAGCTTTGCCCAAAACTCAAGAGAAAGAGAGAAAATAATAACACATAAAAATTATAATAAAAAAAAACAATGACTAACAAGACGGAAGAGATGGGGGAAGGCAGCGAACCCCAGAGCGAGCAAAGCTGTGGGTGCTGCAGAGCCAGTGCCAGGTCCTCTGGGATACAGGGGCCTGTGCTTTTACTTCCAGCCCAAATGCATTCCAAAACCCACACGCCAACACAGAGCAGCAGGAGCATGGTGAACCTCAGGGGTTCCCAGGATACCCTTCGCAAGTTACACCAAAGGTTGTTGGATACAAAGGTTCCCCCATCGCTTCTCCCAAAGTATTTTCACAAGATCAAAGCCAAACGTGCTTCATCACTGCCTGAAGCTCAGAGGCTCATCAGGAGCGAGGCAGAGGTTTGGCACCAAGGGAAAAAGGGAGGAGAGACATGGAAGGAGATGCCACTCACATCACCTGATCCATACCTGGCAGGGACATCCCAGTGTACGTCACCTGAGTGCATGGGCAGCCAGTCCAAAATTCATACTTTCCCCTCCAGCACCATCCAGCACCCATTTTTACCCATGTTTTTTTACAAGTCCACTCAAAATTCCCTGTGGTTTCCCCCAGCACCAACCCTGGGCAGAGCTTGGCCAGCCTTCAGAGCCCCATGCTGGGATAACTGGACCTGCTCTGACAAACACTAATTCTGCAGGTCAGTATTTTCCACACCACATGCGACTATTTATTTATTTTCTCTCTTCTCCCCCTTTTTTCCCCCCCTCCCTCTTTTTTTTTCTTCCCCTCCCCCCCAAAAGCTCCAGCCCAGATTGCTCAGCCCCTTCCAAGAATGAGGCTTTAGAAGAGCTATGCTGCTCCACCCGTGCATTAAGGAAAAAAATAATAAAATATGGCAACCCTTTCCTTAATTGGCTCAGCGACAGCAGGATACAAAATCTGGGCAGCAGTTGTCTCTGCGCTTTTTGTTGTCCTCGGGAAAATTAGCTCAAAATTGGATCACTGTTGAAGGGAGGATAGAACACCCCGTCCAGCAGCCACATCCCGTTCCCAAAGAGCCCAGGCTGCCCAGCACAGCTCTCACAGCAGCAGGGATCCTCTCCGTCATTTGAGGCCCCCCCTCAGCTCCCCTGTCCCTGCCAGCATCAGCCTTCCCAACCAACTGCCCTGAATCTCCCCTTGGGATGGGCCAGTCTCAGGAGAAACAGGGTCCTGCAAGGGAACACAGCTCCCCAGCCGTGTAATTAGCAACAGCTTCCGACCTAGCAAAGGCACCCCAGGGAGAGGGGAGGCTGTCAGGCTCCTCCAGCCAATTCAGATCGAGTCTTACCTAATTCTTCTGTGCTTGATTTGCAACAGCTGTGCATATTTAACACCAAATTTTAAGCTCAGAGCCGCAGCCAGCACAGAGCATCCCTTGGCCCCTGCTCCTCCCTCCCAGCACACCTGAACACACTGAACAGAACTTGGCCTTTCCTCCCATCGCTCCTGCCTTCACACTTTCATTAATAACTTCACGAATTTGTCTGAGGCTTTCTGAAAATCCCAATGATCCATCTCCCAGCTGCTGTCCTCAATTATCTTATTGCCATACTAGAAAAAGAAGAACCCCCCGTCCCCATTAAACTGGATTTCCCTTATAAAAGCCAGTGTTGCTGTCCCTAATCCATCATACTGGAGCAGCATTTCCACACCAGCTTTAATTATTTTCTCAGCCAATTTGCTTGTTGCTAAAGCAAAGCTGCTCCATAATTCCCACTGCTCTCTCTGCACCTCTTAAATGAAGGACAGAGCCGAGAGGCTGCATTCCCATGCAGCAGTTCCCTTTAATGAGAGATTTGCTGGCAGTTTGGCTGCTTCATCCTTAAACCCCTCCCGAAGAGCCACCAGAGTCCACCAGGCACTGGCCATTTGTGCTCTTTAATTCCTCCATTTGCACAGCACCTC